TGGCTCTGTCTTCTTTAATTCTCAAACTTTTAAATTAGTTTCACTTGTCAAAAATATACTATTCATATATCTACCTTTTTTATTTTAACTACTCTTCACAATAGAGTAATTAGCCCCAATATTTCACAACTGTCTCTTACTTCTTGGGGGGGGGAGGAGAAGGGGAAGGGCAGGAGGAGGAAGCTAGTAAAGTGGAAAACAAAGAGATTCTGTACATTTTTATTGTTTTCCAGTTTTTAAACTTAGCATTCCTTATTACAGAACAAATAATTAGATAAACATCCACTATTAATTTCTAGCTGTAACAGTAAATAAAGTGTTGGTATAAAGATGTTATCTGAGCTAACAATCACAAAAGCAGTCATTACCAAGCCATGATACAGCTATTTCTTTACTTTTACTTTCATCTACTTATATTTTCTGGCTAAAAAAAAGAAACAACAGGTTTTAAATGGAGTCATTTATGCCAAGTCCCATCAAAACTTAATACCTAACACCTAACAGCAGTTTCAGTCTCTCCCAAAACTGAAGTTTTAAAGCAACTTAACTGGAATGTTGAGGTCAAGGGTAATGAAGTAATCTGCATAAGATGCCCTGCTTTATCCAGAAAGTTGGGTTTTGTTTGTTAGTTTGTTTGTCGGAGAGGATGAATAATAATCTTTTTCTCTTTTGCTAATAACCTTGTCTTTCTAACTATGAAAACTTTCAATTTGTACCACACCTTTCTTCTTGATAGATAGGATGCTGCCTGTTGGACAATCATTTGTTAAGTCTACTAGGTCTCTTAATTTGCTCAGTTGAATTTTTTTTTTTTAAACAATTCTCAGACCTCAGAAGTTTCTAAGACTTTTACTAAGTGTTCTACATGTCAGTCTAACTTGAAGTTAGTCTCAAGGATTAGATGCTATAAAAGGCAGTTGATTTTCCCAGAAGGTGTATAAACTCTAAACTATTTCTTCTGAAGAAAGTCAGTGCTTACAAAAGCAACGTATCACTTGGAGGATGTAAGGTATTATATCCAGTGTAATCTCACGATTCATGACATCAACTTAAAACATCACTTTAGAACATTAAAAACAAGTGGTGATGTACATCTGAGGAAATGTGAACATATGCCCCTGAATCATTAGACAGTGCCAATGTTACCTCAACTTAAAAAATTAATCTAGAGACCAAGAAAATAAAATATTTACTTTAAAAATTTAAAAACATCCACACCCTACTGTTAAGGTCAACAGATGGTCTTCCTTATGCTTTAGATGTACAATTAAAACAAACAACAAAACCAAAATTAAAAACCCGAACATAAGAGTACATGCAGTTTTCAGCATCTCTAATGTAGTACAGTTCCAAGCCACAGTCAAGAAAGGGCCAGGTTTCCCTCAATCTAGAAAAAGTCAAAAATCTCTACCAAAAATTCAAGTGAAGATCCCATTTTTCATCTCTCAAGCTACTCAGTCAAAACACATTAAGACACTATACTTCAAACATACAATTTGCTTTATGTAAATATTATTTATGCAAGCCAACAATACTTGACAGGAGGTAAATCACTCTGCCACTTACAAAGTGGTCTCATTTTCACTTTTGATTTGATCTTCACAAATCCCACAAGAATTAGGGCAACTGGCTATTACAATGTACAAATGGAAACAACAGAGGCTCCTAAGTTAATAGTTGCTCAACATCATTAAACATTCTGACTCCAATTCATTTTACATTCATCATCCCAGCAAGATGATCCAGAAGGTTTTAGGGTAATGATTTATGGACAGGAGCTAAAGAAAAATCAGATTTAACTTTCCACAAATAACAGAAGGAAACTTTTAACTCACCTAACTTTTTTCCTAATACTTCTTTCAGAAAATCCTACATGTCCCTGAGCAAGTTTTCACACATTAAATGTCCTGAAAAAATTTATAATTTGCAATTCTCCCCACATTATAAAGCTAAATTTCATCTTAGATCTCAAGTTGAGAATTTTTTTTTTTCAATTCTATCTGATGCAATACATTGGGCATGACCTTATGACCTTTGAAACTAACTCATATATTTTTTAATTGTTTTAATTTAGACAAAACTGCATTACTGCCAGGAAGAAAATTTTGAAAATGTAAGTTATCACTTATAATATGGCAATTTCCTCACCTTAACCACACACAAACACAAAAACAATTCAGTGTCTAGTAGTTCTGCTTTGTTAGATGAGTCTGCATTTTCAGTTTTAAAATACCCAGGGCTTAACATGCTTTGCTTGAGTCCATTATTCTTTACATGTGCAAAAGTTTCTACTTCTGTGATCTTAGCAGTTCATACCAAATTCTTACTCTTTAACCTAAATAAGTATACAATTACACAACCTAGACAACAGTGCTATGGAACATATGAGTAAGACAAGCAAATGAATTATGAATCTTTCTTCTGTCCTGAAACTGCCCCAAATATCTAATGAAATACTGAGCCAACACAGTACACGAAATATATAAATTTAAAACACAGTAAATACTGAAAAGAAATTGAAATTTGGGGAGAGGAGCAAAGTTACAAAGACAACCTGAGAAAACACTGTAACCTCACAGAGCTTCAGAGTGGGTATTTTATTAAAAGGTAACACATCTGGACTAAAGGTAAGTCCCAATTTTCCAAGACTGCTAAGTGCAAAAATGCATAGAACACTGGCATAGAATAACAATGCAGCCTTTCTTGAGGAGAGAAAACAAAATGTGGGCTAAATATGCTACTTTCCCACCCTTATACATCATATGCATAATCAAAACAAAATCCGTAACAAAAATGAACATAATCCAAAATATAAGACATAGAAGACACAGGGATTCAATGCAAATTAAGTTTGAAACACTTCACTTTATAATTGCTTAACAGCTTTATTTCCATTGGCAAATGTTTACAAATAAAAAATTTTAAATCTGTATCACTTCCCATTAGTAAGCCCATCTTTCGTCTTGTGGAGTTAATAGGAATAATGAAGCACTATCTTAACTGAAGAAAGGCTAAATATTTTTGCTTGGTTTTACAGTACAAAGAGAAAAATATACATCAAAAATAAGATGAGATGTACAAATGGTACCAATTATTATGTTTTTTCCTCAGCCCAGCTATGCTTTTCTTTTCCCTTTTCCACAAATACCTTACATTTGTCATTTATATCATCTGTGGATGAGGTAATGGGCTATACCATATGTTTGATGTCGCTAGCTTGCTTTTTAAAACAATATTTAAAGAGTCTATATAACTGGAATTGCTGCACCTGTATCCTTTATAAAAATTAAATGTCTTCTATAGAAAATCTGAATAAAATCTCCAAAAGTATAAAAAAGCATTTCTAGTTGCACCATCTAATCACTTTTATAATTGTAACTATCCTCTGAATCTTATTTCTACTCGAATATATAATCACTTCTAGCTCCATAGTTTAAAAACCGGCTTGCAAGATTTCCTATACCGTTTTCATTTTAAAATTTGTATTTTCCATACCCTTTAACATTACAGGAAGCATGTTACTAGCTTTTTAAATTAGAATCCCATTCTTCGAGTAAAAACTTTAAAAAATTATGCATTAAAATATATCCTTTTGGTGGCGTGGTAACCTACATCTAAATAGGTGTGAGTCTGTACCTCCAAATCAAATAGTGTCATAAACCAACATTACTTCAATAACAAGACCATTAAAACAAAAGTTTCAAAATTATTAAATAAAACCTCACTTTACCCCTTCCACTTCAAGAACAGAGCTCAGCAAGGAATAATAAACCATTTACACTGGCGTGCAAGATGCGATAAATATCCCCCTGAGATGTAAGGGGCCTAATAAGATTCAAAGCTACAGTCGAAGACAAGATACTTGCATTTCCAGCACTATCTAGGGGATGTGACCCTCCTGGAGGAGGCACATCTTCAAATTCGCAGTACTAAAGGAGTTACCTACTGCAGCTACAAGGGCATCCAACATTCCGGTTTTTTTTAATAAAGTTAGTGGGGAGCAGTGCACATTACACCCAGTCAACGAAGCACCTCCACTTAATTGGCCGAGGGCGTTAAAATTGGCTCTCCCCACGGCCAGCAGCTGGATTCATCAGGCAGAGACAAACACCTCCCGCGCAGAACGCGCTGTTTGGGCAGCTGCCGCCCGGGGACCCGAAGACCCCCGTGCCGGGGCCGAGGGAGCAGGAGCGAGGCAGGGAAGGGGCTCGGTCATTGCTAGCATGGAGTAACTCGCAGAAACCTCCGCTGCGTTTTAAATAAAAAATAAATGTATCGTTTCTATCCCTGGCATCCCGGACCTCAAACGTCACCGAATCTTATGGGCCGGCTGCACCCCGGCGGGAGGACGCGCGCGCCACAGCCTACCATATGGGGCGCCCCGTCCTCAGCCCAGGGACGCCCTCCCCTCACCCCGGCCCGGCGGGGGCGGCAGGGTCCCCGGGCGGCCGGCGCCTCCACACCCCTGGGGTCTGCGGGCGGGGCCGGGGGACGGCGGGACCAAGGGGGCCGCGACTCGCGCTCCCCCGAGCCCCCACCCCGCGCCCGCACCCTCCAGCCGCGGGGGTCAGTCGCCCCCCGGCTCAGGGACCCCGCGACCGCCCCCGCTAGGCAGCGGCGTCGCGAGTCCCGGCCAGGGCCCGGACCCGCAGCCGCGACTCCGCTGCCGGGACCCGAACCCGCCCCAAGCCGTACCTGACGGGGCAGCGCCACCTCCGCCCGGCCGCGCGAGCTGTCGCGGTGGCGCGGGTCGCAGCTCCCGGCGCAGTGACGCCTCGCATAAAAACAACAACCTGCTCGCGGGCGTCCGCAAGCCGGGAGGCGGCGGCCGGCGGGGCGCCGCGGGGCATGCCGGGACTCGCAGTCCTTGCGGCGCCTCAGACCCGGCGGCGGCGGCAGGAAGAACTACGACTCCCGAGGCGGCGCGCGGCCCGCCGCCCGAGGCTGGAGGAAGCGGGGGCCCGGCCGCCGCGAGCCTCACAACATCCGGGCCCCGGCGCTGGAGCGGCGCCGCGGCCGGTTGCCATGGACACGGGCAGCTACAACTCCGTGAATGGCTTCGCGGTTTCACCCCGTGAAATTTCAACCCGAGGACTGCTCCCTGGATTAGGTGGATTCGTGTATACACATTGATTCAGCCGACGGTTCACCTTCGCTTTGCTGCTTTGACTGGCTGTGGTGGGAAAAAAAAAAAAAAAGAAAAGAAAGAAAGAAAAAGGGGACGCCTCCCTGGGAGCTCGCCAGCCTTAATTGCCATTCGCTGCAAGAAAAAGACTACGTTTACCGAAAAAATAAACAAGGAAGAGATCAAGAATGACCGACTGTGACTGGGTGGGTGTGGACAGAGGATGGATGTTTTTGCATGCTGGTATTCTTTGCTATAAATTTGGGATACCTCTTCTCCCACCCACCCCATCCCAAAACCACCTCTCTTTGGTTACACAGATGTAGAATGTGCATGCCTTAACCCAGAATGGCCACGGAAGAGATAAAGATGTTTTGGGAGTGGTCTGCAGCTCACAACGCACTGCAAGCTGCGGTGGTGGCTTTCAGCTAGAAAAACGTACCTTGTTAAATGTACATTTATTTACATTTATTTACCTTGTTTAAAAAAAAAGAATACGCGCTAAATAAGGATATGGTAGATTTTATACTTAGTGTTGACGGAAACAGTAGAAAGTTAAGGTTAATTCTCTGTCTCCCGAATGTGACCAAAAAAGATAAATAACAATACTATTAAGAATAGTGGGCCTGAACAGAGACAAAAGAGTGACTAAAAATTGGACATTATTGGTTTTCGTGTTGCTGTATTTAACATCAACTATAACAATGTTGTAGAGCAACCCCGATACAAAGAAGAAGGGGGAAAAAAGAAGAGAAAAGGATTTCTTGATCTTATAATTACAGTTTCTGTAATGGACATTTTTATTATTGTAGGGCTTGTCTTTATTTTTGAAAAAATATGTGAGATTATACCAAAGGTCTTTGAATTCAAAGTCAAAGTGGCCTGGCTTTCTCTAATTCTAGGACAACCCGAAAATTAGTAAGAAAGTTAATGCCATTTCTAGTTTTAATTCTAGAAGACACTTTCGTGGGCTAATTTTTAGACTTAATTTTAAAATATTTACAATTTCGTTAACCTTTTTATCCTTGAGTAAATAACAGTTATTGACCCAATTTGTAAGCCTGGCAAGGAATTTTAAATAACCTTTCATATAAAGATATTAGGCTTATGTTTTGTTTTGTTAAAAAATCTGCAGTGGGGGCCAATAAGCTTATAAAAGAGTTATGGGTATTTTGTTTCTAAGTCCAGGAACACTTGTGAATTATTGTAAGTCTAAAACGTTCAGGCAGACATTAACTTCCCCATTGTGTAGTACAAATTCTACCAACAAAATTTATCAGCTAATTTGTCATCTTTTTTAACTAGATTGGTTTTCTGTACTACATTTTGGTCAAAGCCAATGAGAATTTTAGATCCAGTGGTAGAGGGTGATTTGATAAGAGGATCCTATAAGATTGAGTTTAACCTAGGCAACCTGATTGAGTGTCCAAAAAGTAAAGTAAGTTGGTCCTTTTTTTCACAAGTCAAAGTACAGTCACCTTCCACCTCAGAAGCCTACCCTCAGATGAGAAAACTTAGATATTTTGAGAAAAACTGACCTATAAAGATACAACTGGATTCTAGCAACTGATTATTATCTAATATTTATGCTCTTAATGTTTAAAACAAGTTAAAAGAAAGTTAAATACTAACATTTACAGATTCTAATTCAAGATTTCAAAACAAATACATTCCTGACATTAAGAATTTCATCTTTGCTGAGACATTGGGTAAACCAGGAACTCAGTTGAGCTGAGTTGTGCTAAAAAGGAACCTAACTAATCTGGCCCAAATTTGAAATTCAAAAAAGTCTTTGTCCTTCCTAAATCCAATCCTACTGATCTGTAAACATTTTTATCTCCATTTTAGAGTTGGCGAAAACAAGATTATATTCTTGCTAGTCTAAAAGATTTAAAATTCTGGAAGGTTCTCAGCTTCAGGGGTCATAAGAATCTACTATAGAGTATTCAAAGAAAAAGATCTTCAGTGCATATGAAAAATCTTTTCTATTCAATCTTAAAAAGTCAGAGTCACAGTGAGTTTACTTTAATATAAGGTAATTTCTGATCTATAAGGACTTAGATCTTCACTATTTTGGAAGTTGCCAAGATTTTGGTTTGGGTTTCTAACTATCAAAACTTTGCCTAACAGCAGACCTTTTGCCCACCTGTGACTATGCTGGTGTTTCTCTTCACTGACCTCCCTTTGCAAAGCAGCAGAGGTACTCTCCTCCCAAAGCTGCCCACCTGTAACTATATAGAGCTCTCTTTTAGCAAACCTGTCTTTTTCAAGGACAGCTCTTTCTGTCCATTTGTGTCTATGCAATTGTCCTTTATTTTTCTCTCCCTTTTTATAATAAACCTGCCCTTTTCGATGTAACTGAAAAAAAACATCTTTTTGCCTAAATGGACATCACAGAGTAAATTTTTATTAAGGGCCTTATCATGAGTAAATATGTGCTTTCCAAATGACTGAAAATCACTTCATCTCCTATTACCACATTTGAAGAGCCCTGGTATGTGAATCCTCAGATTAGAAAACAGAACCATCTAATTCATCTCCTTTATTTTATATTTATAGACAAGGAAATTGAATCCTTGTAAAATACAAACAGGTTTCCCAGTTAGTCAGCATAGCATGTTTTTCATAATCCAAGCAGGTGTCATCTGTCATTATTATCAGTTTCTATTACCCTCTTTTTCTCCAAATCCTACACTCCTTAGCCTGCTCCCCAAAGTCCTCTTTAACTACTGACCACAGTTTAGCCACATCTTTCATAAAAAGTATGTAACTCAGTACTCACAGTGAGATCCATGCATTAGCAGCATAAGTATGGCCTGATCACCTAGGAACTTGTTACACATGCAGAATCTTGATGTCACAGACCTGACTCAAATCTGCATTTTAATCAGATTCCTGGGTATTTCATATGCACATAAAAAAGTAGAAAGCACTGCACTAGAGAACAACACTACCATGGAGAAAGGCCTTCAGGTTTCAGCTACCTTTTCAGTGTTATTAAATAGCTGACTACTACTGTAACAGGGTGGTCTCTAACACTACCAAGATTTTTTTATTTCTAATTAGTGAGGTCAAAGGTGGTACATGTATATATCTCTTCAAAAGAGTGATTTTCATTTCTTTCAAATATATACATAGGCTTCTGTGTCATATGGTATTTCTCTTTTCAATTTTTTGAGGAAACTTCCCTTTAAAAAAAAATGGAGTCAAACCCCACTACACTTAATACCTAACCAATGGCAGTTTCAACTTCTCCCAAAAATGTAATCTTCCCAAATCAGCACTAGTGAAATAATCTGCATGATAAGAACTTCTTGCCCTTGAGACAAGGTATCTTTGCCTGAAGTAATCTTTTTTTCTTTTCTTAATAACCTTGTCCTAACCTCTTTCTAACTGTAAAAACCTTGGGGAAGGGAGGAGGAATAAGAAAAATAAATAAAACCTTCCAATTTGTACAAGCTGCTTGCAGAGTCTTTCTACTTGCTTGGTCGGATGCAGCAAGATTTATGAATAAAACTAATTAGATCTCTAAATTTATTCTGATGAATTTTTTTAAGCTTTGTACTATTTTCCATATTGGCTGTTTTAATATTGCACAAAGGTACCCTTTTCTCCATACCCTCACCAGCACTTATTATCTTCTCTGAATATATTTTTGATAACAACTGTTCAAACTTGAGTGATTTGATTTGCAGTTCCTTGAGCACCTTCCCAAGTACCTGAAGGTCACCTGCATGTCTTTGGAAAAATGTCTATTCAATTTTTAATCAAAATTGTATGAGATTCTGCTATTGAGTTAAATAAACTCATTGGATATTTTAAAAAAATTAACCCCTTATCAGATACATGGTTTGCAAACATTTGCTCCTGTTTCATAGGTTGTCTCTTTATTCTGTTGGTAGTTTCTTTTACTCTACAGGAACTTCTCCATTTAATGTAGTCCCAATTGTTTATTACTGCTTTTGTTACTTGTGTTTTTGGTGTCACATCCAGAAAATAGTTGCCAAGACCAATATCAAGGAGCTATTTTCCTGTGTTATATTTTTTTTCCCTTAGGAGGTTTGCAATTTCAGGTATTACATTTAAGCTTTCAATTCACTTTAAATTAATTTTTGTGAGTGGTGTGAGATGAGAGATTAGGAAAGCAATTTAGGTTTTTTTCAGAATTTTATAATTGAGACTGATTTGATGTGTTTATGTTTTAACAGGACAAGAAAAATACTTCAGCTTCAAACTCAGACACAGAGATGAAATCTGAGCAAACGCCTCCTTGTGTAAACCCTGGCAATCCTGTGTTTTCATGTATGTTGGACCCAAAGACACTCAGTACGGCTACCTCACTATCCAAACCAAAGATGATTATGTATAAAACCAATTCAAGTAATTATGGTGAATTTTTACCTATGCCACAGTTCTTTCCCTGCAATTATACTCCAAAGGAACAAATATTTTCAAGCCATATCAGAGCCACTGGATTATATCAAAATAACACTCTAAATACTGCACCTGACAGAAGCAGAACCCTTGATTTTCCCAATTTCCAGCACACTCTATGAAAATATCTCCCTTTGTACATTTAAGAGAAAATATAGCCATGAAAATGAGCTTTAAATATCTAAGGCTATAGTACCTAATTTGGAAAATAAAAGGATTTGATTTAATTTAAGAAAAAAAACACCTTTAAGAAATAAAGTATTTCAACTGACAATTGAATGACTTCTTAAATTAAAATGTGTTCAAAATAGCAGAATAAAAGGTTTCTTTAGCACATCTTAGCTTTATTTAGTACATGTACTCCAAAACATTCAAAATGCCTTCATGAACTAAGTGGCTACCTCGTATATTTATCAAGACAAAGGAACATAGGTGCTGAATTAAACGGAAATTCTGACCAGTAATTTCCCACTTCTCATTTATTTTACCTAATGTCTTAGAACTTGGGGGAATGTTAGGAACAAGTTCTCTTTTCCACTGCTAGTCTGGTGTAGGAGAGAAATTATGATTGATTCATTCATTAGCAAATATTTGTTTAACACCTGCTTATAGCAGGCACTATACCATACAAATGAAACACGGAAATAAAAGACAGTGTCTTTCATTGTTTCAATGAATAACATTTGGGGACAAATATTTGGAGACTAAGCAACATGCTATTAAACAACTATTGGATCAATAGGAAATTAAAGGAGACACTTCTAAAAACCTGGTGACAAAAGAAAACAAAGAAGTTACCAGAACCGGCAGGATGCAACAAATGTAGTACTAAAATAGAAGTTTATGGAAGGGAAGAAATATAAAAGTTAGAGCAGAAATAAACAAAATAGTGACTTTTAAAAGCAATACAAAAGATCAATGAAAAGCAACAGCTGGGGGCCTCCCCGGTGGCACAGCGGTTGAGCGCTGGGTTGCGAAGCTGCCCGCGGCCTCTGCAGCGCCGGTTCGATCCCCGGCTGCTCCCCGGCCACTGGAGGAGGATCCCACATGGCGCGCAGACCTCTCCTGCCGCCCGCTGCTCCCCTCAGCAGTGTACTTCGGTCCTTCTGCCTGCTCTGCTCCCCGCTCTGGCTCTGGTGAATTCTCTCACCCTCCCCCGCTTCTGACTGTACCCAGTGCATGTATAAAACGAAAACAAACAAACTAATTAATTAATTAATAAAACATGCCTCTATTAAAAAAAAAAAAAAGCAACAGCTGGTTCTTTGAAAATATAAGCAAAATAAATAGACTGTGGTGGAGGAGTTCGGGTATCGTAGTGGTGAGTGTGATCTGGTAATAAACATCTGAATCATATATAGTATTGTAAACCTGTTAGGGGGAAAGGATGTCCTGAGCTAATCCCATACAGGCTTTGTGGACTCCACTCCCACTCCAGACTAAAGCCATCAGGACATTGGGAAAGACAAATCCCATCACCAAAGGGAGGGTGGCTGGGACCTGAGGGTGGAGTTAAGCAGCCAGGTTGGGTATAAAAACCAAACACGTGGGCCTTGGGGGGCTTGCTATCGCTCGCCTCCTGGCTTCACGGCTCCTGGCTGGTGGCCAGCTCTCAGGGTGCCATTTTGGGATTCCTGATGGGCGGATCGGTAGGACTCATTTAAAACTTTGTCTCCCACTTTTCTCCCTGAGCTGTACATTTCCTCATTTCCCCTTCCCTTGTAAATAAACCTTTTATTAACCTTTCGCGTGTGCCTGTGTTGTAGAGCAACCCCGATACAAAACGGGGTGCCTGACTGTGGGTCCTCACCCGCGCTTCTGCCAACTTTCAAAGAAGAATAAATACCTACTCATTTTAAGCTTTCTTGAAAAATTGAAAAGTAGAGAAAATTTCAAACACATTCTTTAAAATCAATATTCCCTAATTCTGAAACCAGAAACGGATATTACAAGAAAAGAAAACCACAGACCAATATCTCTGATAAACATAGATACAAATATCTAAGCAAAATAGTAGCAAACTAAATTTAACATACACTGTGATCAAGTGGGATTTCAGGGATTCAGAGAATGTTTAGAATATGTAAATCAATTAATGTTATGTACCACATCAAGAAAGTACAAAAATGACCATCTCAACAGAAGCAGAAAAACTCTTGACAAGATTCAAAATCCTTTTATGGTAAAAACCCTCAACATAATGAATATTAAAGGAATAAACTTCAACATAATAAAGGCCATATTTGACATACCCATATTCAACAACATACTCAATGGTGAAAAACTGAAAACTTTTCCTTAAGATCAGGAACAAGTTAAGGGTGTCCACTCATACAATTACTATACAATATAGTACTGGAAGTTCTAGTCAGAGCAATTAGATAAGAAAAGTAAATAAAATCTATCTTATCCAAATTATAAAGGAAGAAGTAAAACTATTACAATTTTCAGAAGACATAATGATATTTAATACATAGTATATCTCAAAGATTCCACTAAAAATATTAGAAATAATATGAATATGGTAAAGTGGTATGTTACAAAATATGCACAAATTTGTTGTGTCTCTATATGTAAAGAATGAATGAGGGGCCTCCCTGGTGGCGCAAGGGGTTAAGACGCAACCTATGAAGCAATCCGCAGCCTCTGCAGCACAAGTTCTATCCCCGGCCGGCCAGGGAGCAATCCACATGGTGCAGCAGACCTCTCCTGACTTGCCCACTGTTCCCCTCACCCCTCAGCAGTGTACTTCAGTCAATCTGCCTGTTCTGTTCCCCACTCAGTCTCTGGTGTATCCTCTCACCCCCAAATCTCTGGCCTGTACCCCAGCTCTTAAACGCATAAATAAATAAATCTTTAAAAAAAAAAGAATGAATGAGCAGAAAGAGATATCTGAAAAACAATTCCATTCACAATTACATCAAAAAGAAATACCTAGGAATGAATTTGAAAAAGGAGGTTTAAATTTTACACTGAAAACCTTAAGATATTGTTGAAATACAAGACACAAAGAATATAAAGATGGTCTGAGCTCATGGATTGAAAAAACTGACATTATTAAAATGATGTTGGGTAGCGTTGATGGGTTGCGAAGCTAATGCACAGTTCGAGCCGCGCAATGCTCAAGTGTAGCTCTGGCTCTGCTTCTGACTGTACCCAGTGCATGTATAAACAAACAACAACAAAATTATAACATGCCTATAAAAAATGCCCATGTTAATGTACTATATAGATTCAATGCAATCCCTATCAAAATTCCAATGACATTTCTTCACAAAAATATAACCAAAAAAATCATAAAATTTATTTGTATCAATAAACAACCTCAAATAGCCAAAAAAGTCCTAAGAAAAAAAGAACAAAAATGGAGGTATCATGTTTCTTACTTCAGACTACACTACAAAGGAACAGTAATCAAAACAGATACACAGATCAATGGAACGGAATTGAGACCATAGAAATAAACCCATATACATACGGACAACTAATTTATAACAAGGGAGCCATAAACATACAATGGAGTGAGGAAAGTAACTTCAATAAATGGTATTGGGAAATCTGGATAGTCACATGAAAAAAATTAAATTAGACACTATCTAATACTATACACAAAAATTAATTCCAAGTGGATTAAAAACTCGAATATGAGACCTGAAGCCATAAAATACATAGAAAAAACACAGGTGATATGCTCCTTGACCTCTGTCTTACAGATGTCTTTGGGAATTTGACTCCAATGGCAAGGGAAACAAAACCAAAAATAAGCAAACAGGATAACATAAAACTAAAAATCTTCTGCATAGCAAAAGAAACTATCTTCACACAAAAGGCATCCTACTGTGAGCAGATTTTTGCAAATCATATATCAACAAGGCATTAACACCCAAAATGTACACAGAACTCATTACCAATAGTAAAAACAACAAAATCCAATTTAAAAGTGGGCAGAGGAACTAAACAGTCATTTCTTTTTTTTAAGATTTATTTATTTATTTATACAAGCACTGGGTACAGTCAGAAGCCCAGGAAGGTGAGAGAATTCACCAGAGTCAGAGCGGGGAGCAGAACAGGCAGACTGATGAAGCACACTGCTGAGTAGAGCAGTGGGTATGGCAGGAGAGGTCTGTGCACCATGTGGGACCCTTGCTGGTGGCCGAGGATCAAATCGGCGCTGCAGAGGCTGCAGACAGCTTCGCAGCCCAGCGCTCAACAGCTGCGCCACCAGGGGAGGCCCTAAATAGGCATTTCTCCAAAGAAAACAGTTGGATGGCCAATAGGCACATGAAAAGATATTCATCATCTCTTCTTGTTAGGGAAATGTAAATCAAAACAACAATGAGATATTACCTCACATCTGTGACAATGGCTATTTTCCAAAAAATACAAAATAACAAGTGTTGGAGAGCATGTGGATAGAAGGGAAGACTGGTACTGGAAATGTGAATTGCTATAGCAATTATGGAAAACAAGATTCCTTTGGGCCTCCCTGTGGCGCAAGGGGTTAAGCATTAGCACTATGAAGCAACCCAGAGCTACTGCAGCAGGAGTTCTATCCCCTGCCACCGAGGTGACCCACATTGCACAGCGGACCTCTCCTGTCTCACCTGCTGCTCCCCTCAGCAGTGTATTTCAGTCAATCCACCTGTTCTCCCACTCTGTCTCTGGTGAATCCTCTCACCACCACCACCCACACCTCTGGCCTGTACTCCAGTTCTTGTATGTATAAATAAATAAACATTTTTTAAAAATAAAATAAAGATTCCTCAAAAAATTGAAAATAGAAATCTATGATTCAGTTCTCCTGCCTCTGGTATTTACCCCAACAGAATGAAAACACTAATTTGAACACCCATATGTTCATCGTAGCATTAGTCACAATAGTCAAGTCCTGAAAACGAACACATAGTTGGAGAAAAGTGATATGTATAGATGCACACACAATGTAATACTATTCAGCTATGAAATCCTGCCATTTGCAACAACATGGATGGACCTGTTGGGTATTATACAGAGGGTGAAAAACAAACACTGTATGATTTCACTCATGTGAAGATAAGGAAACAATAAACAAAATACAAATTCTTAAACTCTACAAACAAAATGGTGGTGACCAGAATAGTAGGAGGAGGAAGGATGGTAAATTGGGTAAAAGGGTTCAACTGTACCACAGTGGATGGTAACTAGTCTTAGTGGTGAACAAAATAAAATATATACAGATGTTAATTTACAATGCTAGACACCTGTAACCTATATAATGTGATAAACCAATGCTACTTCAATAAAAAAAAAATTTGTACTAGTTCCTTGAAGAAGATATCTTGAGAGAAATAATCTTAGGATATATATACCTTTAAAACATTTTAGAAAGGGGAACTTACACTTCAAAAATTGTGAACATGACCTGAAAAATAAGCCTATTTTATTGTTAGTACCTGAGAGTTACTTACAGTGAACTATGCCTTAGGGCTAGAAAACAAAGGGAATTATCTTAAACCTTGTACAAAAAGGAAGCCTATTGTGTAGAACTGGATGCATTATGCCACGAGACATTCCATTCATCAAACTCATTCTCCTCTGTTCTGATTACATATTAGCCACAAAACTTTATGACTTGTTTACTATACATATCTGTTTACAAGGAGAAATGAACATCATATTATCAATTGTCCTATGAACATGCTCACTCAATTATGGTTTATGAATAAGCAGACAATCTACTTTGTCTAATATCCTAAGCTTGATTTATATAAATCTGATCATGTGATATGGGTCACCTGAGGGTGCTCTTGATAGGTCTTTGAGATTAAAGACTGAGCCAGATCAGTTCAGTATGGTAATGAAACCCATTCATATTGTCAGGCTTCCTGGGAGATCACCTAACATTTTCTCCCATGATACATACAAAAGTCTTTTGCCTTT